CTGATCGTGGGCAGGAGCCCTGCATGGTCCGCCGTGCCCTCAGCCTGAGCGCCCACCGCAGCCCGGCGCAGGCGGGCGCATCCTCACCTCCACCGTGCGTGTGGCTCTCCATCTGCACAGCAGGCCGAGGAGGGTCCGAGGAGGGTCCGACAGCCGGGTACTTGCGGCTGTCAGTTCGCATTATCACAGCCCTCCATCAGGAGAGAAGCAGATGCACCATTTTTAATTAAAATTGTTTCTTCAATATATTAATAGAAGCGGAGCTCACGAAGCCTTCATTTATCTTTAAGGGGCGGCCAGCTAGCAGCTCGGGGCGGCTCCGGGCAGGACTGACCATGCGGCTCTGGGTGTGGCTTTGGGTGCGGCTCTGGGTGCGGCTCTGGAGCAGCCAGTTTGGAGGTTTGAATCCCGGCCCGCACTCCCCAGGGAGCCTCAGGCCGTCACCCCCCTGCGCCCCTTCCTCAGCCAATGGGGACGAAACAAAAGGACACAGGAGGCAAGAACAGCGCCCCTCGCAGAGCTGGGAGAGGCTGCCCTGGTGAAAGCCAGCCCATCACTTAAGATGGCACGTGGCACGCGGTAAGCGCCCCATATGGCTGCTCAGTCAGATGCCAGGTCACATGCGGCCTCAAGGTCAATCACAGGACCGCCAGCGAAGACGTCCCCATGGAAAACAGAACCCCAATCTCTGAACACTCCGCCTGGAAACCCCGCACGGCCTGGAGGATGGACCGAGGAAAGGGGCGCGGCCGCCAGGACAGAGGGCATCCGCCCACCAGAAGGCCCCTGGGGCCCTGGGGCTCCATCCCTGAGTGCTGCCCACTGAGCCGCCTGCCTGTGGTCTCCGGGCTCGGGAAGGCTGACGCGGCACCTGAGTGGCTCCTCTGCTGTAATACTGGCGTCTGAGGGAGAGGAACTCACGGGGGTGCTGGGCATCTGGTAGAGACTCGGTTTCTGAATGTGCTTAGTAAATAACGAACTTGAGAAATGTCACCTAAGGATCAAAAATGCCCCAGTGCCGCTGCTCTCAAATGCACAGTACAGTGCGACGGGCTGATGTTTAGGCGCGAGCTGCACGCTCACGGATTAGCCTCCCTCTGCAGGACAACCACACGACTAAGGCTGCTCTGGAACTAGGAGAATGTCTCTGCTCTGAGCTACAAGCCGGGCATGAGCCCTAAATTCTAGGCTGAGGGGGCATTCATGGGTCTGGGTTACTCATCGATCAGCAGCCGCTCTGCTCTCAGCGACCTGGCCACACACTGTTCTCACCCCTGTGCGTCTTCCTGTATCATAATAAATGTTATGTCATCGGTCCCCCCAACTAGACCGACTCCGGAGGCCAAGCCATGGATTCCTAAGCACTCTGGGTAATTCCCCGCATAAACAGGGGCTCCAAAAACACCTGCTGGCCTGGCCGTTTGGCTCACGGACTGAAGGGTCCCGGGTTTGATCCAGTCAAGGGTACGTACCTCGGTTGTAGGCTCGATGCCCTGCCCTGGTCAGGGCACGTGCAGGAGGCAACCAATCGATGTGTCTCTCTCACATCGATGTTTCTCTCTCTCACTCTCTCTTCCACTCTCTCTAAAAATCAATGAAAAATACCCTCAAGTGAGGACTAACAAAACAAAAAGCACCGCTTGTTGGCCGGATAAGTGAGTGCACACCCAGCTGCTGCTGGCCTCGCTCCGCTCAGCAGCCTGGCAGCCTCAGAAACCCTTACCGAGCTGACCATCAGCAGCGTCTTCCTCAGCAGCGTGTAGTGGTCTTCTCGTCCGAATAACTTGGTGATAATATTTTCCCCGCAACACTGATTCCTAGGGCTGGTGCTACAAGAAGATGAAGAGGAAAAATCAGAAATAGAATCATGTTCTTGACTAAGATTTGTTCTTACATAAGCAAAACAAAATTCTAAAAATCACCCGCACAGCAGCTATAGTGACGGTCTCCCTGTGGACAGCTCCTCTCCCGAAAGCGCAGGCGCGTGTGCCGGCCCCGCGGCCTCGGTCAGTGTGACGCCCACAAGGGCTGCGGCGCATGCAGCTGCCAGGGTTTGCTCTGCTGAGCCAGCTTCCCTCCCCATTCCCTGCTGCCCCCTTGCCCTCTGCCCTCTGCCTGTGCCCAGCCTTCTAGCGATTCTGTGCCCTGGCTGGTGTGGCTCAGTTGGCTGGATCATCGGCCCGCACACTGCAAGGCTGCAGGTTTGAATCCTGGTCACAGCACATGCCGAGGTTGTGGGTTCAATCCCTGGTCGGGTGTATGGGGGCAACCGATCTGTTTCTCACATTGATATTTCTCTCTCTCTCTCTCTCTCTTCCCCTCTAAAAATCAATGAACATATCCTCAGACGAGGACGGAAAGGCACCACAATCACCGGGGTGCATGCGGGAAGCAACCAATCAATGTCTCGCTCTCACATCGATGTTTCTCTCTCTCTCTGCCTCTCCCCCTCCCTTCCACTCTCTTTAAAAGTCAATGAAAAAATATCCTCAGGTGAGGATTAACAAACAACAAAAAATTAAGAGAAGAAATGAACTCTTAGAGGTGCACCCCAGGAATGGGGGGGGAGAGGTAAGGGGCTCTGAATACTGAAGGCTGGTTCATCAGGTGTTCATGAACCCCAGATGGGCGGCCCAGGGCGATGGGAATGACTCTGGTGTGTTTGCTTCACAGTGGAGCGCAGTGCTGAGATCCAAGGCCGGCTCTCCCTCTGAGGTTTACACGGGCTGGACCGTCGACAGGCGCACATCAGCATGAACAGACCCTCCTGAGAGCGAAGTCTGGACTCTCACGTGTCGTAGTTTAGTGCTTCCCACATGGTGGGGCCCCCCCCACAATTTACGTGACAACGCAAACCTCCCGTGATGACAGGCACGGGAGCGAGCCCAGAGATAACGGCTCAGGGCCCGGTCTCCCGCGACCCACACGTCTGCACCGCGAAGAGCGGGCAGAGACTCGGTCACCACGTGGCGTCCTTGCCCTGTAACACTTGACAAATGCGTGTTTATGCCCCACTTTACAAGAAAACCCAGAGCTCAGGGCAGTGCTGGCGGCGAGCGCGGGCGCGTGCGGCGTCTGCCTCAGCTGCTCTCTAAGCACGTGACCTGGCCAGACGCCCCGCAGTCTCCTCTTTCCACCTAGAAACTGGAATAATAACCACACCTCCCTTGTAGGTATAAGGCGATTCTAAGTCAGCATGTACAGAACATAATTTACAAACTGCAAATCACTCCGTAAAAGTTCATAATTATTCACGCAGGCTAATTTTTCATTAATAAATGAGGAGAAAGGAATTCGGATCTCCTCGAACCTTTGACATGCTATGACACGTAACTAAAATGTAGGGGTTTGTACAGACCTGTCCTTCTTGGCCGAGGGACCGGAACCCTGAGCCTCCGACCACTGAGGGTCGTGCAGCAACGTCAGAAACTGCTTCCAGTAGATTCTGTTGGTGGTTCTAAGTCCAAATCTGGGTGTTAGAAAACGTTTTAAACATTATTCCCGTAACACCGTACGGATTAGATGTTCAATGTTGAATTTTAAATGGCGGCAATGCATTTTTATAAAGTTTACACTCTAAGGTAAACAAAATAATTTGGTCACACAGTACTACAAACAGATCTTTAAAAAGCAAAGAAAAATCGAACTGCTTCTCCATCTCCATGTCCCTGTGTCCCATTGGCAGGAGCTCACACTGAAGGAAGAAACAAAGGGATTTGTTAAAATTCCACAGGCGGGAAACGATCCTTTCAAATCGCCATCTGCGGGCTCGGGCCTGGTGCGGGCAGAGCGAAGGCCCTCGCACCACAGCCCGGCTCTGGCTCCGGGACTGGCACTGGGACCTCACGTGGCAGAAAGGACTGTGAGGTGATTGGGGATGTGGACCGTGAGGCGGGAGAGCATCCTGGGTGCCAGGTGGGCCAGGCTAACCCTCTCCTGTGTGTGTGAGTGTATGTGTATGTGTGTGTATGTGTGTGTGAGTGTGTGCGTGTGAGTGTGTGTGCGTGTGTGAGAGTGTGAGTGTGTGTATGTGTGTGTGAGTGTGTATGTGTATGTGTGTATGTATGTGAGTGTGTGTGTATGCGCGTGTGTGTGCATGTGTATGTGTGTGTGTGTGTGTGTGTATGTGTGTATGTGTGTGTGAGTGTGTATGTGTGTATGTGTGTGT